GCTCTGGGACAGAAACAATAGGACTCTTATATTAGTTGGAACCTGCAGTTTTCCCCACAATATTACAACACTATAGTTTACCAAACTGATAGTCATTATTTTGTCAAAATGTCAGATACATGCTTGCCATAATCAAAAACAGGAGATGGCGAGGGTATTTTTTTTTGTTGTTGTTGCATGAAAACAGAATGTGGGCAATAAAGTAGAAAGTCCAGTTCCGATAACTCTATCTAATAATTCACATCTAAATGCTGTAATGGATCTCATTACACGTGTTTTCTTCTCTTTAACCCGGCGCTTTGAGGAAAGGCCATCCATTGCACGTCGATAAAGCGCTCGATCTGCAAAACATAAAACTTCTCCAGTGTGTATAAATGAATACCAGGTTACCGTGTCAGGAGCTCTCGTTTTCCGGATTATAAGCCACTCCAGGTAACTTTTCGTAGAATAAATCTATCTAACAGTTATATAACCCAAATCACTAAACTGTGATGTTTATTAGCTGAACTCAGTCCAGATGTGTGGGAATCAGGACATCCAACTCAGGAGTGTGTGTGTGTGTGTGTGTGTGAGAGAGAGAGAGAGAGAGAGGGGCAAAGTGGGGTGTATTGAATGTTGTGTAAAAGGGGATGGGGTGGGGGGGGGATCGTGTGGTGGTGGTGGGGGGAATTGTGTGGTGGGGGGGTTGGAGGGGAGGGTTTGGGTGTTAATGCGTTGCCTTTGCAGTTGAGTTTCAATCCATTTCCCTTTTAAAAAGCTGCGACGATGTGAATTTGTCTCATTTTCAGGATCTGCAATAAATCTGAACGGTTTCTGATCTGTCTGATGGTGGGGGGGGGGGGGGGCTTTGGGGGGGGTGTGGGTGGGGGGTGTGGAGGAGGGGGTGGGGGCTGGTGGGCTATTTGGGGGCAGGAATCGTCCCATGTTGCAGGCAAAACAACAACAAAAAGAAAAGGGGGTCTGAAAGTGAAACAGATTGGGGAGGGGGGGGGGTTGGGGGTGTGGGGGGTATTCCTCCCACGAATCTTTACCCAAACTTACCCCCCCCCAAATCGTTCCAACTAATGGCTTCCCCTCCCACCCCAACCCCCCAACCCGTCCCCACCCCAACCCCCCAACCCTAACCCCCCAACCCCAAACCCCCCCCACACCCCCACCCCCACCCCCAAACCCCCACCCCCCAACCGATCGCTCTCACTTGACACCTCTGGAAGGAGATTGTGGCTGAAACTCTGAAAGAAAACCGTTCACGTTTGCGATTCGTAAAATAACGAACAGAGCAAAATAGCGGAGTGTTGGTGAGGGGTGTGGCGGGGGGGGGGGGGTGTGGGGGGTCTCTGAACATCAGGATAAACGGTTGAACTCATTAAAAGCCTTTACCAGAGATGATTCCCTCTGATCCCCAGTGGTTGACACCGAAACGAACCATTCGTTTATCCTTCAACTCTTTGCAAAGAATTGTCCTGAAATTCTTTGCGAAGAATTTGCAAAGAGGAGAGAGAGAGAGAGAGAGAGAAGAAGAAAAAATTCGGCCAATGTTAAAAAAAAACACAACGTGGAATTTGGGGGAATTTAAAGGGAAAAGTGCAAACTCCACTCACCCCCAAAAAAATTATTTCGCGACCAAAAACAAAAAATCAATCAATCAATCAATGAAACAAATGTGCAAAAAGGTTTTTGCCCGAAACAAAAAAAACACCACCACCACCGAATAAATTAAAATACAATACAATACAATAAAATAACCTTTAAAATAATCACCTAATTCGAGACACTGTCCTGAAAGCATCGTATTCCTACAAAGGTCAATGCAGATAAAAATTGCGACTGATCCATACTTTTTAGCAGTGCAAACAGATATATATATATATATATGTATAAAGTATTTTTTCCTAAATGTTTATAATAAGCGGGTGATGTAGAATAATAATTGATGCCCAATCTCTCCTGTGAGCCTCAGGGGCGATAAGGTGTGCAATGCAGTCACTTCACAGGAGAGAGCAGGAGATCTTTTGATGTTGCAAACTTGGAGTCAACTGAAATAATGTGTAGCTTTTGAAATAATATTTGGAGTGTTTCCTATCACCTGCAACGTGTGTGTGTGTGTGTGTGTGGATGGGAGTTGGTGGGGAGGGAGACAGTGGAGGCATTCATTTTCCATTCATTTACATACCATGTTGTGGCTTTCCTGACATAATCGTGATTAATCTCTACTGAGTTACACTTTGTAGGCACTGTCACACACACACTCTGATACTACAATGGTAATAATAATGATAATAATAATCCTGGCATTTGATACAGCGCCTGATCGCATCTTCAAGACGTCTCAAAGCGCTTCACAGCAATGTACTGTAAAGTGAATTGACTTTATTTTATTGGCGAAAGAATTGAAGTAGTTAATCTGCAATTTTTTTGGGGGGTGGGTGGGGTGGGGTCGGGGGGGGGGGGGAGAATTTTGATAAACTTCATATTCGCCTACAAAATACACAGTCGTTACACTTTGCAGTAAATCCTGTGAAGCGCTTTCAGGCGTCGTCCTGATGTGAAAGGCTCCACACCAAATGTAGGGATTATTATTATTATTATTATTATTATTATTCTCAGTTCCCAGTATGGCCTCACACTTGACTGAGAACAAGTTGGATTTCAAGGGGTGTCAGGGCTGACTTCCTCAGACCTGGAGCTGGCAATTCCTGGTGTCTGGATGCCATTTATTTAGAGAAAGCTCCGAACTTCTTTAGTGATCGGAGCAAACTTTACAATTATGAGTTAACTTGGGAGTTCCAGATCCCTCCATCCCAACAGGGAATAATAATAACCCCTTCAAAAAAAACCCCAATGATATCTCAATCCAGGCCTGTTTGCGGGACGCTGCTGGGCGCCATTGGCTGCCACGTTTCGCCCCCAAAATACACAGCCAATTCACTTTACAATATATCCTGTGAAGCGCTTTGAGACGTCTCAACGCCGCGATAAGGCACTCCAAGCAAATGCAAGGATTATTTATTCCTCTAATTGTCCTTCCAGAGATACCGTGTTTTTTTTTCATGTTACAAACGCAGAAATATGAATATTTATTTCCCTAATTCTCAAACGAGTGCAGTAATCCGCACATCTGATAATCTCCCGACAGATCAATCATTTCCACACTGTGTCTCTGGCTATCATCAGCCGAAATTCATCGCATAAAAGAAGCATCTCACCTGACATTGACACTCAGCCCTGGTGCTTTCCCCTCAGATCGACTCTACTGTCTATTCTGGTTCACACCGTACAGTTCAGATGAACCTTTTTTTTATATGGAAAATGCCTAAAAGCTGCGTTCGTCCCCAAAAGGAGTTGACGAGTTGGCTCAATCCCTCTGGTTTACAGTCAGTGCATTTAACAGCCTCAGCAAAGGAACCGACGCAACAGATTGATCTTCTAATTCGTGGTTTAGTCAACTATTATCCTTCCTTTTGACCCACTATTTTCTGATGTCTGGTGTATAAGATACTGGGAGACTAATTACAAATCTGGATGCGGAGCAACAAAGCGAACGAACTGTGTGTGTGTGTGTGTGTGTGTGTGACACAGGGCTGTTTTATACAACACCCCACCTCGCAATTATAATTACATCTGGAGTGTGTTTCCACCACAACCCCTCGTAGCTTTTTCACTAAATAAAGTGCTCGCTTGACATAAGGATCTGTGCAAGTCGGCCCCAACTCTTGAACTGATTAAAACCCGTTAGTTATTTTGCAAATGGAAACAAATCAAAGGAATATTTGCCAGAAACAGGAGAGGTCTGTCTGGCGCAGGTCGAACATCCACTGTAGCGATTGATTTCAAACATATATATATATGTATATATATACATATATGTCCCAAATTGTACTTTTAAAACAACACATTTTATTTTATTCTCCTTCCAAATGACAGTTATTCTATTTGGGGAACACGTTGCATCTCACATCGAAGCTCCTAAAAGTGGTGATTGAATTATTTGACTGTTTTCCTTCCCCCCCTCACCCCCTCCCCACCCCCTCCCCACCATAGTCTTTCTTCACCATTCGTTGCAATTTATGAGCTCAGAGGATGTGTGTTGTGTTTTTTTCTTTCGCTAATCAAACATTTTCGGGGGTTTGCTGTGTGCATTTCTCGGCTGAACGTTTCCCAAACAAGAATTGGTAAAGGGCACAGTGGTTTGCAATCGCTTTTCGATCGCTGCTGATTATAATTAGCTCTGAGAACGTGCAAAAACGCGCCGAGGATTTCGAATCGTGAACGTAATCCAAGTGCAAAAACGTGGGAAAATCCCAATTTATCTCTGGGGAACGGAAAACGGACCAGAAATTGACCAACGGGTAAGATAAGAATTGCACAAATAATTGCAAGTCCCAATGCAACCCCCCACCCCCCACCCCCACCCCAACGCACCCCCTCTGTGAACGCAGAGACACCCACACGTCCATTGGTGGTGATTGATGTCTGCGAGCGGTTGAGGAGCAAAGCAAAAATGTACCTTTTTTCTTTAAAAAAAAGCAAAGCAAAAAAAATACGTCTGATGTTACGAGCAGAAAACATGCAGAATTACTGAAAATCTGAATAAGTGGGGCAGAACTTTCACCATTCAGCAATTGAAGGGGTGGAGTGTGGGGGGGAGTGGGGGGGGAAATCATAACGTGCCACTAAATAAAAAACTTTAGCAAACGGTGGCTTTTTGTGGTTGTGTTGTTGTTGTCAGGATTGAGAGAGAGGGAGAGAGAGAGGGAGAGAGAGAACAGGACTCCTGTGTCAGGGGAACAGGCACAGCTCTGGTGCTGACGGACGCCCGTCCCGGGAACTTGTGTAACGCACTCAGACTATGTTCGCAGACTCGGCGGCGCAGCTGCGAAACATGAGCGGCGCTGCGTATCCAGGTTCCGGGGTCCGGGGGGTGACTGAGAGGCAGAGCGCCGGTGCGGTGCGTGTGGGTTCACATCAGTCTCTGACTGACAGGTCTGTGCGATGGGGAGGCGACTGCACACAGGAGCCGGACCGCTGCTCCCTCTCACCGCCATCCCTCACTGACCGGGAGCCCTCCAAAACCACACACACACCGCACACACACAGGTAAAATGCAGCCAATCTCCAACGAACTAACCGGTGGGTGTGCGAAATCTTTACTAAAGTACAGTCTCTCTCTCTCTCTCTCTCTCTGCTCTCTTTCTCTCTGTGTCTCCTCTCTCTCACTCACTCACTCTCTCTCTCTCTCTCTCTGCTCTGTCTCTCTCTCTCTCGTCAACAAAAAAATGCCATCGTGTTCCTAGTGCACACATACACACTCACACACACACACACTCACACACACTCTCACACACGCACAGACACACACACACACTCTCTCTCTCTGATCATGTTAGAGATGAAGGGGCTGCAGAGACTTTTGACAGTGTTGTATGGTGATGTGGAGAGAGGGTGTGTGTTGGTTATGTGTTGGTGTGTTGTGTGTATGTGTGCGTGTGTGTGTTTTAGTGTTGGTGTGTTGTGTGTGTGTGTTGTGTGTGTGTGTTGTGTGTTAGTGTGTTGTGTGTATGTGTGTGTGTGTGTTGTGTGTGTGTTGGTGTGTGTTTTGTGTTGGTGTGTTGTGTGTGTGTTGTGTGTGTTGGTATGTATTGTGTGTTGGTGTGTTGTGTGTGTTGTGTGTGTTGGTATGTGTTGTGTGTTGGTATGTGTTGTGTGTTGGTATGTGTTGTGTGTTTGGTATGTGTTGTGTGTTGGTATGTGTTGTGTGTTGGTATGTGTTGTGTGTTGGTATGTGTTGTGTGTTGGTATGTGTTGTGTGTTGGTATGTGTTGTGTGTTGGTATGTTGTGTGTGTGTTGTGTGTGTTGGTGTGTGTTGTGTGTGTTGGTATGTGTTGTGTGTTGGTATGTGTTGTGTGTTGGTATGTGTTGTGTGTTGGTATGTGTTGTGTGTTGGTATGTGTTGTGTGTTGGTATGTGTTGTGTGTTGGTATGTGTTGTGTGTTGTGTGTGTGCAACAGAGTCGATATCAAGTGGGTTGAATGGCAATGGATGTGGTTTTCAGGCAAATCTGTGACGTGTGGGTGGTCAATAAAGGTACTTGTGGTCAAAGGATGAGGGGTGTTGTGTGTGTGTGTGTGGTGTGTGGGGTGGGGGGGGGGGGTGTGGGGGGGGGTGTGGGGTGCAAACAGTGGCAGGAAGAGCAAAGATGTTTGTTGGCCACTTGTTTACTGTTTCCTGACAGATCGTCTTGATTCCGGTCCTCCTGGGGATTTGCGGTGTGAAGGTTATCGCCTCAGATCTGTTTGAGCAGTTTACAACTTCATCAGTGGGGAAGGGGAGGGGAGGGGGGGGGGGGGGGGGAGGTGGTGATGGGGGGGGAGGGGGGCAGAAAATGGTTGTTTTAAACATCTCCACCGACATCTATTTGGTCTGTCGGTGGGTTGGGGGGCGAACATGTCGATATTATGAGCCACACTCAGCCCTGGACTGTCACCGACTGTGCAAAGTCGTGCCTTTTAATGAAAGAGTTTGGCTTTCAAAAATGTGTGTGTTGTGAGTGTCCGCGTGTGTGTTGTTTGTGTGTGTCTGTGTGTGTTGTGTGTCTGTGTGTCTGTGTGTGTTGTGAGTGTGTGTGTTGTGTTTGTGTGTGTTGTGAGTGTGTGTGTTGTGAGTGTGCGTGTGTGCAGGTGTGTGTCGGTGTGTATGTTGTGTGTGTGTTGTGTGTGTCTGTGTGTCTGTGTGTGTTGTGAGTGTGTGTGTGTGTGTGTAGGTGTGTGTCGGTGTGCATGTTGTGTGTCTGTGTGTGTCGGTGTGCATGTTGTGTGCGTGTGTGTGTAGGTGTGTGTCGGTGTGCATGTTGTGTGTGTGTGTGTAGGTGTGTGTCGGTGTGCATGTTGTGTGTGTGTAGGTGTGTGTCGGTGTGTATGTTGTGTGTGTGTGTGTGTAGGTGTGTGTCGGTGTGCATGTTGTGTGCATGTTGTGTATGTGTGTGCACACGTCGTAACTGTTGGTCAAGTACTTTCCCGTACATTCAAGGCACGAAGGTTTAGCGAAGGGTGTCAGGTAAGAGAGGAGGAACAGCAGACAGACAGGTCCCCCCCCCCCCCCCCCACCAGCAGCAGCAGCAGCAACACACGAGGCTTTTATTTGATTTAGTAAACAGACAGAGGTTTCAGACACAGACAGGTTCAGGGAATTCTGTAACACTGTCTGGACTCTGTTTCCCCGAAGTGTTCACAGACAAAACAAAGTGAATCGCAATCCGCAGGACAGATCCTGGTAAATACTGTGAACTCTCCCGTCCTGTCCCCCCCCCACTGCCCCCCCACTGTCCCCCCCCCCCACTGCCCCCCCCCCCACTGCCCCCCCCACTGTCCCCCCCACTGTCCCCCCCCCACTGTCCCCCCACTGTCCCCCCCACTGTCCCCCACATTTACAGCAGTTTTATTTATGTACTTTGCGCGTTTGTGTGCGACATTTCTCAGGTCTTCTGATGTGGTTACACTCGGAGCTGCTGAACTGTTCCCACTGATATTTTTTTACATACATTGGAATCGGAATGCATATGAACAACTTTGTTCTAACGAAGAAGGGTTTGGTCATCAAAAACAAATGCATTTCTGCTAATTCAGGCGCGAGGTCTGTCCAAGTCCAGATGTGTTTGCAGAACATTTCCGAGGAGTTGGAGGTGAATTGCAAACTTTCTGCGGATGTTAAATACACAAAAGGGAACAAATTTGCTGTTGTAAATCTATATAAATCAATAGATATGATGTGATATATATATTAGATATAATCCTTGCGATCATAGAAAACAATATAAAAGAGAATGTTTGTGAGTACGAAGAAAATAATATAAACGATTAAGACCTGAACTATTTCTTGCAGATGATGTCCTGGTTTTATTGCTTTGATTTCTCGCTCGTTCCATGTGTGTGAGATTGAGTTCTGATGGTGATCAGCAGAAGGTGTGCGAATGTCAACGGTTAATGCTCCCAGAATACAGTCTATATATACATATATATTTACATCGTTATATATCTTGAAATGCAAGGATTATTATTATCATTATTATTATTATTATTTTGGAAATATCGGTTTCCCTGGTCTCAGTGGCAAAGAGGAAAGAAAGAGAGATCCGCCGATGTTTTACTGAAAATACTGACTTAAATACTTTAGTCCCAGCAGCTGGAAACCTTGACCTATATTTAGTGACATACAATCCGTCGCAGTAAAAACTATTTCTCTCTTTCGAAACCTTACGAACGGCGCATATTTGCGGCCGGTAAACGAGGTGGGGGTTTTTTTTTAGGGGGAAAAAAAAACACACAAATCTGTTTTTTTTTTGGGGGGGTGGGGAGGGGGGGGGAGGGGGGGGGGGGGGCAGTGAAAGTGAGTGACAACGTTCCTGCACTGCGGCTGAACAAAGTGCGGAGCGTGTGGTCCGCGGGTCGCTGTTCCCTGGGATGATGTTCTGGTCGGTTTTCGCTCCCGTTCACATGCGAATCGGCGCTGTTTCGATTGTTGTTATGTTGTAGTGAAAAGTCTGTCTGTCACCCTTTTCCTTCCTCAGTGCAAACCAGAGGCGATCTCACTCACTCACTCACTCACTCCCTCACTCACTCACTCTCTCTCTCTCTCTCTCTCTCACTCCCCCACCCACCCTCTCCCCCACCCTCTCCCCCACCCACTCCCCCAAAACAACCCACTGCAGTGGCATTTGGAAGGTGGCAGCTCAGAGGAAGATGAACACCATCGTGTTTAACAAATTCACCAGCCAAGTCCTCTTCGAGGAGAAGGCGAGCGAGGTGGAGAGGAGCAGCAGGACCTACATGGAGGTGATGGAAGAACAACACCAGGAGCTGCTCATTCCGGACAGTCCTTCCAGCAAAAGCCAACGGAGTCTGAGGCAGAGGAGATCAGGGTACGATTGCACTCCTCTCTTTATTTCCTTTTCACTATTTATTCATGGCTCCTCATCGCCTGACCTGAGCGATGGGACTGGAGGGAAACGTGACCAGACGTCCACACGGCTGATCCACTGGTACAATTCACACATTTAATGTCCCTCTCCCTCTCGCTCTCTCTCTCGCTCTCACTCCTCCTCCCACTCCACTCGTACATTTGTTTGGGCAACATTCAATTTGAAATCGCATTTTTTTGCTGTACTTACTTTGTTAGATATATATATATATATATGCATTATATATATATATATATATACTTACACTATATTTTATATTAAACTAATTTCATCGATCAGTTTCGTACGTCCAGATCAGGAGATGAGAACAACAACTTGCATTTGTAATGATAATAATAATTATTATTTAGACAGTGCCCTTCACACACGGGGTTGCGTCCCGGAGCTTCTGCACCCCCCCCCCCCCCCCCCCCCCCACACACACACACACACCCTCTACATATTTTGCATTTGCAATAAGTTTTACAACTTTTAATTTTAATTGCAACAGCGAATCCAACATATTATTGTTTAAATGTGGAGATGGGGCTGGGGGGCTGGGGGCTGGGGGGCTGGGGGGCTGGGGGATGGGGGCTGGGGGGCTGGGGGGCTGGAGCTGGGGGATGGGGGCTGGGGATGGGGGTTGGGGCTGGGGATGGGGGTTGGGGACTGGGGATGGGTTTGTGCCTCTGAAAGCCTGAAGTAACTGTAACAACCTTTTAGATATTAATTCATTAGACATTCAACATAAAGACTTAATATCACACAACGATTGGTATCCGATGCTCCTCAGTGCAGCACTTTAAACAATTACCGTGTGTATGTGTTTGTGTGTTTAAACCATATAATAATATAATACAATACTTAATACACTCGAGTTGATCATTGTCGAACAGCATTCTGGAAAGTCTCTTTCCTTCAGCGGGTGAGTGAGTGAGTGAGTGAGTGAGTGAGTGAGTGAGTGTCTGATGACATGAGCAGCAAAGTAAGATTTTAGGACATTTTGACTCTCTGCATTTTTCGAGGTCAAGAGATTCTTTTATCAAAAATCGCAATTTTTTTTGAAAAAAAAAGAAAACCCACTAAAACATTTATTTCTCTGCCTTTCTCCTGTTTCCCCCTGAACGTTCAGTTAGTCTCGTAAACTGAGCTGCTGGTCAAGCAGACTGGATCTTTTTTTAATTTTATTTTTGTTTTGTGCAAAAAAAATGAATCCTGGATTGTCCAACAATCGGCCCAAATTGAACAAAAATGACACATTCTTCAACTCCAGTTGATTCGGCTTTCACTCTGCACTAAAATATCCCGATCACCTTAAATGCATTCCCAATACATTGTTTTCCATCGGTGTGTCTCCACGTGTGGCTTTAGATCATTAAAATTAAAACTATGCAAACGTTTCCCGTGTGTTTCACAGCAATACAGTGCAGTCTGTCAGTTCGACCAATTTATTTTTGCTGCGGATTCTGTGTTTGCACGTTTTTACACACACATCTATATTATTTTTAAATTGTAACAGCGACTCAAACCTTTTATTGTTTAAATGCCAAGTGAGAAAACCTGAAATACGTACACCGTAACGAATCCCAATAGATTTCTGTTCGATCTGGTTATCAGATGAATTGTAATTTATATTAACTGCAGACGTTTGCAGTGAGAAGGAAGCCAGACTTCCACTAATTCAGCCACAAACAAGACTGCAAAAGGTTGCCAATGACTTGGAGGATTTAGATGCAAACAGCAAAGATCCGCGATGAAAATGCACCGGGGTCATGGATTGCGAAAAGTTTAGCGATTCTGCGGTGGTTTAAGCAAAATGTACGAGAGGGACTGTTCCTGAAAACATGAGTCAGAAAAGCATTCACTGGGGTCAGAAAACAAGTGTCTGCAACAGAGACTTTCCCCAGCGGGACACTGACACCTGGCGGCCACGGGCTGCATGTGCACCGAGAGACAACACGCACACAGCACTGTACCTCACTCACAAGTTGCTATAATAATAATAATAATAATAATAATAATCCTTGCATTTGAAATAGCGCTTTTCACGTCGGGAGGACGTCCCAAAGCGCTTCACAGAACACACTGTAAAGTGAATTGACTGTGTATTTGTGGGCGAACGCGGCAGCCAATTGCGCACAGCAGTGTCCCCACAAATAGACGTGGATTGAAAATGACCACTTTTATTATTGTTTTTGGTTTTGGAGGGATTATTATTAGGTTGTGTGGAGGAAGGAAACTTGCCCAAGATACACCACGAAACAAGCAGTTGCAATACAAAGGCACAGTCAGACACCGAGAGAGATACCCGGTTTGTACGTGGACACAGAAATCTATAAATACTTGCTGTTGTGCCCGCAGCCGGGCTAAACAATATCTGCCCACAGATCTGCACATCGAGACACATCAAGACCTTGAAAAATAGCACAGTTGTGCATCAAAGTATATCGCTTCAGACCAATCTTGAATCCGTTATTATTCGCCCCCAAATATATACAGTCAATTCACTTTACAGTATATTCAGTGAAGTGCATTGAGACACCTCGAAGACTTGATGAGGTGTTGTATTGAATGGAAGGATTATTATTATATTCTGTAGTGCATTCCACCCATTTGTTCCGAAAATACTTTATCAAGCTAATTGAAGAATGACAACTGTTTTATTGTTCCGGCTATTCTATTTCCTTTATTGTTATTACTATTATTATTGGTATGTGGATGGTGTTTGAAAAGCAGCACGCTTTAAGTTACATTTATAACCGCAACCGCTGAAAGTACTATTCGATCTCAGACTGATAAGTAATGTAATAGCTACAGTGAATGCGAGTTGCTATCTTCCCTTAAAATAAATACAATTTTTAATGTCAGTTAAAACCCAGAACTTTAATTTGCCTAAGTCTAGATGTTCGGTGCTTGTTGACACCTTGCAGTGCATGCTGTCTAGGTCTAACTGCTTGCTGGCATGTGTGGATTTCCTGGTGGGAATCTGTAGTCCAGGGTAGAAACAAATGCAGATGTTATATAGTATTCCAATGCAGATGTTACATTCTTTGTGATGATCTCCTTTCATGTGATCTTGCGCATGGAATTGCATGAGATACAGTACAAAATAGCCACTGCATAGAATTCACCATGGACAGATAGTCATTTTCTCTGTGCACACATTATTCCTCATGTTTGTTGGTCCACACATTACAGTACAGTGTGTGTGTGTGCCTTACCTTGATGAACTCCTGTTATAATGAAATTTCTGCAGTTCTCGGCAGGGCGGTGGGAAGGTGAGACACAAGCGACAGGCTCTCCAGGACATGGCTCGCCCTCTGAAGCAATGGCTTTACAAACACCGCGACAATCCCTATCCAACCAAGACCGAAAAAATCCTCCTGGCGCTTGGATCCCAGATGACCCTGGTGCAAGTAAGGCAGTTTTTTCCCCTTATCCTATCCAATTGCAAATCTACACTTCTCTGGAGAGAAGTCTGTGTGCTTTACTTATTACATTCTACCAACAAGTAACGGTGGTGTTTAGATTCATTGACCCAATGAATTCAGGTAAAAGTAAATGTGTATTCTGACCAATCCTTTACATTCAGTGCGTTGAGTGAATGGTATTTTTGGTGATCTTTTCATATCATGAAGGGAAACAATGCCAGATGTGGTTCAGTTACCCCACCACAACCTGAAGGTCACATCCTGAGGGAATGCTAACTCCACATCCTCTGTAGCTTATAAAACACTGAGGTACAGTATAGCTATTTGGCAATTCAGTGGTATTACTGCTGTGTGCAATTGGCTGCCGCGTTTCACCCACAAAATATACAGTCAATTCACTTTACAGTACGTTCTGTGAAGCGCTTTGAGATGTCTAGAAGACATGAAAAACGCTATATCAAATGTAAGGATTATTATTATTTTATGTTCAACCCGCATGATGTTTACATTGTGTTTGAGTTATGTTTGCATGATGTGGTCAGCGACACAAACATTCAACACACAAGAAAAAATACTAAAAGGTTTATTTTCACTATTCCAAGAAGCAATTTCTTCTGAATACTGGGTTGACATTTAAAGCTTGATTCATGGCTACACTTTTAAATCCTAGTTGAATATTTCCTTTTTAAGAAAAGCTTCAAAAATATTGGCACACAGTCTCCGGAATAGAAGCAAGTAATACAAGTTGTGTCTAAATCAGACTATTCAGTTTTAGGAGTTAAGGTTTAACAAATTGACTTTTTTTTAAACACTTGCAAATTATACAGAATGCAAATAAACAGTATTGTTACATGGTGCCACGAAGAGAGAGAGGACTATACTTTTTTATATTAAAAATAAATTTACTGCTAAGAGGGTTAAACTGAATGAATTTGAGTGAAGTATTCAAGCGAGTTCGCAGAGTTTTCTCGTGTTACAATCTGATGTTGATTTAACACAGAACGATCATATTGTCAGTCAATTGTCATTAAATGTGGTTTGACGGAAAATTAGGAGAAAAAAATATACGCAATGAAATGTCTGCTTAATACAAAATGTCGGATATTTCCTTAATTGCTTTATTTTCCGATACTCGTTCATCTACTGAGTACAATATGAGCAGTCGGCAGTTAACAAGGTCATTATTTAAAACAAAATAATGACAATTTGTGTTTAATCATAAGTAACTATTTCTAATGAGATACATCTGTTGACTTTTTGAACTACATCTTAACATTATAAGATTCAATGGCAACAACACTACATGCAAAAAATAAATATAAAAAAATATATTTCTGAAGAACATATGTTATACAAGCATACAAAAAGGCAAATTAAAACAGGCTAAATTAATTTAATCTCAGTTTGTGCTAAATATTGAATATTGAATTAGATACAATATTGAATTTCAATAAAAAGACATGTTCAGCTATTTTTAAAACTTTGCCAGGCAAATTGATTTTAACATTTGTTATTATTGGTTTTAATTGAATTATTATTGATAGCGGTACGAGTGCAACTCCATAGTAAATTCATATTAAACATTCCAATGTGCTTTATTAAGCACTCGAGATGCTGTCCTCATGAAGGGCATTACATAAATGCAAGCTGTTGTTGATATATTATTTTCCTGTGGAATAGCCAACAGCCACCTTTACTAGAAGATTAAACCAGTTAAGCCTTCAAAACAAATTCATAGCTCACAAAACAAAATTTAGACTCCTCGTTGGCACTTTTATTCATGTAATTTAGAATTACTGTAAATAGTTGAGGGTTAATGTTTGGATATGTTTCTTCTGATTTGGACCTTATTTTTCTGTAAGCAGTTACTGGGGCTTTCTCGTCTTTGCTGTAACCACAAAGGTATTATTTTATAAAACACTCCTTTAGGTTTGCTTTAAGATAATGTTCTACACAGAGTTACATAGAGTGATACATTAGACCATTCGGCCCTACTGGACCATGCTGACGTTTATACTGCACACAAGCCCCTACCCCTCCTATTCCCCTCTCCTATACCCTTCTATTCCTTCTCCCTCATGTGCGCATCAAGTTTCGTCTTAAATACATTGATACTTTTTGCTGCAACCACAGTTTCCGGCAGCGTGTTCCACAATCTCATCACCTTCTGCATGAAGAAGTTCCTCCTAAATTCCCTTTTATTACTATCACTGCATTTCTTATACTTACGCCCCTTTGTTTTGGAGCTATCTGCTCAATTTTGAATTTATTAGTCTTCTCGATCTGATAAGGGATTGTTTCTATTCAGTGAGAAGAAGCTCTGTGCCTCCTGCACGGTGGTCTGTCTCTTTAACTAACCTCTTATTCTAGTAAAGTTAGTTCAGTGAGTTACACTTACTGCTGGGCATTCAGAAGCTTCCAGTCTATTTCTCTTACCCGCCGCTAGCCACGCTACAGCCACTTGGGGTGACTGGCGAGGCAAGTGACAATCAAGTTGAAATTTTTAAACATTTCCTGCCCCTGGATCAAGGTTGATCAATCAGAAACATCAAATATTTAATCTTCATTATGAGGACCGGGTGATATTATCTATTCATTTATACTGATGTTTTTGTATATGTACATAGACAGAAATATACATACCTTTTTACATGAGACGCTTTAGTGGAATCTGATGATACTTGACTTTCTGCTTTTCTCTTTAAATGACAAAATAGATTCCATTAAATCACTTTTACAATCCAACTCATCATTCCTCTTCAAATGTCTCAGCCCCATGCTTTCAACATATTACCTTTACTGCTTAAAACTTTAAAATCATTGTGAGTGTACAAGCTGGCTTGCTCCATACTGGTGTCTGGATTGTACAGTACTGTACAAATTCCATTTGAATATATTTTATTCCACCTCATCATAGCAAAACGTCTGCAGCTACTGACTGAATAACACAGTCAATGCCTTGTTTTTTTTAGTGTTACCCTGCTATATTTGACCTTAGTGGGGAACAAAAAACATTATCCTCTTTGCTAATTTGTGGTTTAAATAAATTTATTTAAATTAATTTGTTTAATAATCCCACCAAAACAAAAAAAAATAAAATTGGTCATTTTCAATCCATGACCGTTTGTGGGACACTGCTGTGCGCAATTGGCTGCCACGTTTCGCCCACAAACATGCGGTCAATTCACTTTACAGCATATTCTATGAAGCACTTTGAGACACCTAGAAGATGTGAAAAGCCCTATATCAAATGCAAGGATTATTATTATTATTATTATTATTATTATTAACACCAGTATACTGCGTTTGAATAGGTGTAGACATTAAAGAGTACACGCAAAGAGTAATATTTTTCATTATAACATTCAGGCCATTTGGAGGCAAGATTAGATTCACTTATTGTTAGATTTATGTTTATAATAGGCTTGGATTACCGAATTGTGTGATATACGATACAAACCACCACATAGCAATTACTTTTAAGATTTTCATAGCAAACAATCCAGTCATATGTGAACTATAAATGGTACCTGTGTCTAATAGATGTTTTCTGACATAAATTATGAGGTCAATAAAATCTGAGCCCTAATTTAGTCCAGGTTTTATTTTTATAATTTTTTATTATTTTGTGCCCTAAACTGCTGTGAGGTATTTATTTATAAATAACCCAAATCTCTTGGTGACATTCGATTAAAACAAAGCTGTATATATGTGATATTTTGTGTTTGGAAAATGATTCAGTCCACCATGCTTCTTCCAACTCTTGAAATCTTAGTCCATCAACAATGTTTAATTTAATTTAATTTAATTTCCGGTCAATTTTTAAAAGATGATTATAACACTGAGATTAAGTAATAATAATAATTATTATTATTGCATTTGATATAGGGCTTTTCACGTCTTCTAGATTAAATAACATTAACAGACAAGTCTAGAGTTTCTCGAGTGTGTCAATTGCTTAAACTCGGGGCTTCCTCCAGCTGGCAGGACAGCTGTGCTGTTTAGACAGTGCTTGCTGCTGGCTACATGTCTTCTGATCCCTTTGCGACCACAATCAGCATGAAGCCTTCTCTGCCACGTTCTACTTCATTATCTGCACAGAGAGCACAAAGGCAATTCTGGTTTCAAGGAGCAGCCAAGTTAGTCTCCTCAGTGCAACATATGGTGGCCTGCAAATCCTACTTCATTCCATCTACTTATTTAACCCTTTCACACTGTGAACGGAAAAAAAAAAAAAACGGCACTAATATCAAACGGGCCACAAATCATTCAAAAAATACTGTTCCGTTTCCAAATTTCGGAGTTTTTAAAGATGAAAGGTTTTCCTTCAAATAATCGATGCAATATTTTCTGAAATCAGGTTATTGCACTGGACATGCATTCTGTTCATTATCAATAATCAATCACTTAAATTAAGGAAAACAAGTATTGCAACTAAAATGAATGTCTTTACTATGTGAAGTATTGATTTTCTTTGGTGGTAATCACAGAAAATTCCACCCCTGTCAACGTCTGTTGATATCTAACAATAATAATATTTGATACAGCCCTTATCACATCACTGTGCTTCACAGGGCTATAATATTATTTATTGTTATATAATTATAATAATTATTATAATAATATTATTATTATTTATTATTCACAGGGTTAATTGTAGAGTGTAGTAACTCTGTATTTTTATAGGCAAACACAGCAGCCAATTTGCATACAGTGATGTCCCACAATGAATGACCACATTTATCTGGTTGGGATGTTCCATTATCAAATCCTGATAAACAGCAAGTTCATTGGAGGCTATGGCCAGTTTCAAGACCAAACAACATCACAAATACATTGGGGGTTGGTGGGGGGAGAGGGCTGGGTGGTTAGATACTGACGGAGACATTTACAGGAGTGACATTTTCTGTCATGTGATAACCTCACCAATGAGGTTATCACATCACAGGTTAATTTTAGAATCTCACCCCAGGAATTCAAACATTTAGTAACAGTTAGAACGTGTGCCATATATTTAAAAAATGCGTAAACATTCACAAACTACTGTAGTGAGGGGTTTTCTCTCCAGCTCGGCGTCAAATTCTGTTACTGTTAAGCACTCCAAGACATTATCTGCATGAAGGGTGCTACATAAATGCAAGTTTTTTTTGTTACGTCGCTGTTTAATACTGTCTGTAATAAAAACAAACCCGTACAATTGGTTTGTACAAATGTTTACACTTGGAATAATTGATATTTAAATAACACCTAATTTCACGCATTTTAAATGAATTCTTACTAACTGTCTTATTATTATTATTATTTGTGGATAAAATTGCTTCCAGTTAGTATTTTTGGAGTAATTATAACAGACATTTCTTGAACAAAAGACTCCTTATTATGGTGTTATTTAGCATACGTGTATATATATATAATATATATATTTCAAAACACATATCTTATGTTTTTCCATTAGGTATCTAACTGGTTTGCAAATGCAAGACGTCGCTTGAAGAATACTGTTAGACAACCAGATTTGAGCTGGGCATTGCGAATAAAATTATATAACAAGTATGTGCAGGGCAACGCTGAACGACTGAGTATTAGCAGTGATGACTCGTGTTCTGAAGGTATGACANTTTTTTTAATATGACATATTTATCGTGGATTAAGTTTTGTCTTTAACTGGCATTGCATTACCACAAAACATTCTGTTATCTCTAGCGATACCCCTCAACCTGCTGTTCAGTAACAATCCATACCAAAAAATGGACAGCATGATTAGGGAATATCTACAGCAAGATATAAGCACAGATAACATTTTGATGAATATAGAAGTCTTCCTGTTCTTTGTTGATAGCTGCTATATAGCTATAATGTACAGCTTAACCATGGAATTTTACAGCCTGACGACGACCATTCAACCCATTGTGTATGTGCCGGCTCCAAGGAGAAGCAATCCATTCAATCCCATTTACCTTTTCCCCATAACCGTGCTCCTACAAATTATTTATTTTTAGATGTCTATCTAGTTACCTCTTGAAAGCTAAAATGGATCCTGGCAGGCATTCCACATCCTAAAATCCCCTATGTGAAAGCATTCCTCCTAATCTCCTCCTTTGCTCCTTCACCAATTATCACTTATTATCGCTTTACAATAAGCAAAAATTCTGACTGTATAACACTGAACAAAATGATAGTAAAATTACAACCCGGCTATTTCTACTCATTGTTGGATACCTAAAATACAAAGCAAGATGGCTTAATATCTAGTTTGTTGATGGTGCGACTTAAAGTGTATTTAATTCACATTTAAATATGTATTACAGTAATATTATATCAAGATATCTTTCCTTTCGAAATGAAATCCGGAAAAAAAACATAAGGCATTAACCACATAAACTCCCAAGATGACAACATTTGAGTTAATGATATTCCAGACTGAAGTTTAGTCACAAAAAGGTCAGTTTTGGTAGCAAACAAAGTTTAAAGGGGAGTTACAACACCGATACTGACAAATTGTTCATTGTAGCGAAGGGGATACGGGGGGGAAAAAAAATATTTTATCAACTGGCTGCCTGACATCTTTTGGAAAACCATCGCTGTGCTTAAGAATATCCACACCAGATTGAGAGTTCCACATGTGTATGCCACAAAAGAAATGTGCCTGTGTCTGGAAGGGAATGCTCACTCTCTCTAGAGGGATGCATGCTGTTAGCTAACTGGAGAGTATTAGACATAAGTTGGAAGGTTGAACCAGGTAACTATTGGAATGTTGGAAGAAGGTTTGGCGGACTTGGTTTTACACAAAAGGTGAATAAGTTGTAGAGTAAGTTCCGAGGAAAAGGTGGGAAGAAGCTGATATAAATGGTTTAAAAATGCAACAAGATGTGTTCCTGAAGAGAGAACGAATTAAGAGATGTGTTGGGACTGCAGGAAAATAGGATTGGGCACCAAAAAGGATGGTGTATTTGGCTCATTGAACTTACTCCACACCTCAAGTAAGTAGGAACCTGGTTGTTCGTCCATTGGCAAAAATAAAAATAAAAATAAATAAAAAATTGGTCGCTCAATCCGCGACTGTTTGTGGGACACTGCTGTGTGCAAATGGCTGACACGTTTTTCCCACAGTCAATTAACTGTACAATATACTCTGTGAAGCTCTTTGAGATGCCTCAGGCGCAATATCGAATGCAAGGATTATTATTATTATTTTCATGTTCCTAAAAATTTTATATTCTTGTGTTTCAACTACTATTACTGCCATGTACAGACATAACCAGATTGTGGGGAATCATTGTAAATCTGGACTTCTCTCAGTGAAATGTGATTAAGCCGAATGATGGGTTGAGTAATGTGTGCCACAGTTGTGGCTATGGATTTAAACTACAGATTTATTGCATTTTCTCCTGCCATTTTTTTATTATCGTCATCTCAAAGTAATATATCAGGCAGTTTATAAAAACATTTTATTTTTCTGGGTAATAATAAAGAAGTGCAGTTGAGGCCTATGGCAGCATATTTTGTGCCAAGAATTATGAAAGTAATTGGGAGCGATATTTAATGACCGAAGTGTTGTTGACACAATGTCACTTACTAGAGACGAGTTGCAATACTTCATTGACTGTAAGAGCAGCATTATTTTCATTGCAAAACAGGAAATGCTTTCATCATTCTTACCAGACTTTAGTTTTTGTGACATTTATGAGTTACCGTATATATTTTATTGTCCACTGATGTAATTCATTGCAGACTATTTGCTCCTATCATCAGTAATCAGGCAGTAGAAAGTTTGGTTTTAAACAGATAAGGGTTCTTTGGTCTATTGCATTTAGCGTTTTAACAACCCAAGGGAAAAATAGGGCTGCAAGTCAAAGCCCTAATGAGTAGGGTAGTCCTTGCTGGACAAGTGGATGAAGCTTGCCAGGCAATGCTCTCAGTGGAAAGCTATGCAGTTTCAGCTGGTTAAATTCCCAACAATACCCTCTGGGGTCCCCAAGCCTTGGCTGTTGCCAACTTGTACCGAATACTCTCCAGAATTAAGCGAATAAGGTGTGTCCCTCCAGGCAGAGTTTTCATTCCATTCCAGACAAAAGGAAATTCCCATGTGTAGATGGCATACATATGTAGAACTTTGAATCCAGTTTGGAGACTTTTAAGCATGGGGATGGGTTTCCTCAAGTGTCAGACACCTGGCAGACCAAGGAACAGTTACAAAGCGATCCTTTTGCTACAGATACACTAAGTTTGTGACCTGGAGCGTAACAGGTGATTTTCCTTTACAAAAAATGTAATTATTGCATCACAATTTAAATAATAATCCTTGCATTTTGATATAGCGCCTTATCATGTCTTTGAAACATCTCAAAACGCTTCAAAGAATATACTGTAAAGTAAATAATTGTATATTTTGTAGACGAATGAGGCAGCTAATTGCACACAGCAGTGTCCCACAATCAGTCGTGGATTGAGTGACCAAAATGTTTGTTTATGTATTTTTGAAGGAATTATTACCCCTGGAAAAGCGATCCGCCGATCAACTAAAAACTTCCCACTTACTGCTAGGTAAACAGAGCGTGTGGAGTAAGGAGACTTGCTGATGGTTTCGCCCTGCTCGGGAATTGAACTCGGATCATCTCGCTTGCGAGGCGAGTGCTCTAACCACTAAGCTACAGGACTCCATGGACTGAACTGTTTGAAAAATGTTACAGTCAGCATATACTCTACATCATTTGAATTGCACATGACAAACAACTGTACTACATATATTTTAAAAGTCCAAAAGGAATGATTCATAATAGGTATTGCATTAAACTTCAGAAACATGCCAAAAGTTACTTTTGAATTTAAAAAATTTAACAAAATTTACTTTCTATTGATCGAATGGAGCAATGACTAGGCAGTAACCATTGAAGTGCTCAGATGACATGATAATGATAATAAAAATAATAATCAGGGTCCGCCACTGTTAAGCGCTCTTAGACACTATATATGGAGAGCACTATATAAGTGCAAGTTGTTGTTGTTGTGTCATGGAATCTTTAATGTGTACCTGAACAGGTAGATGAGACCAAAGTTTAACATCTCATCTGAGAGGCGTAAGCTCCAACAATGCCAAACACCCCCCATTGCTGTATTGGTCACAGCATGGGTCTTAAACCCTCAACCTTCTAACTCAGACTCAAGAATGCTAACAACTGAGGCGGGCTGACACACAACATGGAAATTCACAATGATAACTTACAAGAAGGAAATCTGCCTGGAACTCACTGTTTTATTAGTAAGGGCATGGAGTTGCTAGGGACAGTTTTATTATATTTAATTCCATTTTATCTACTGATTTTTTGCCAGCAATGAATGTCATGGTTGGTGTGTGTGGGCCAGATACTCAATGCAGTTGATGTGCTTTGATGTCCTCACTGAATGATTCACTTTGAAGCATGCTTTCCGAGGTTTTTTAAGTATTAATTAAATACTGAGGAAAACTGAGTTCCAACGTCTGAGTGACTTTAAGAAATGTTTTAAAAATGTGCACAATATTAAATGTTAAGATGATGATATTAAGCCTCAGAAATTAAAATAACATGACTGGAGCAGTGAAAGACAAAATGCCTCTTAAATGAGTCACCCATAAACAGAAGAGAGTAAAACAGATCAGGCTCAAAGTGGTGAGTTATCTTCAGCACTAAAATAGCAAGCGAATAAATTGCTGAAAAAGCTTGGCCACCTATCCGTCTTCATAGTTCTCTGGAGCTTTCTTTCAGTTTAAAACATCGAGGCCCTTAGATTGGTAATTGCAACCAAGTTACACTTGGACAAACGAGTAGCAAATGTGGTTAACATTCTGGTGAAGCGAATGGGGATTATCAAGAAAGATGATCTTATTTCTTACTTGTCACAACAACAAGTTCTGTCCAGCTTTTCTGTAGGTTTCGCAAAGTCTTGATGAAATATCATATCCCGTTGGCAGGCTGCAAAAGTAGAAAAAAATCTCTTGCTTCTGAAAATACAAAGGTACTATGTCCCATTGGATTAGATGAGGTGACTTAGATATGAGAGTCCACATTCTGCCATATAACAGAAGGGGGTTAGGCTGTTTATCTTCTAAAAGAAAATCATGATGGGAACGGCACCCTGAGAGTTGGCAGAAATACAAAAGCTGATGCAGCTTTAACATTCTGTCTATATTTAAAACGTCTGCAGAATACTCCTGTGGCAAAGCTTTACTCACGTTTTAGCTCTCTCTCTCTGTGGAGCTCTCCCCATGCAGTCACAATCTTTGACTCCGTTCTTTCTATGCAGAGTTCAAAACTTAGTGTTCACTCTTAACTGCTGCTCCAGGTTTGATAGAAAATCGATTTGGCCACTGGAAGACCTTAGGGCTTTCGTCCTCTTGTAGGCCATATTCTTCTGGGCCTTTCAGCCATCGCAAAGGTCAATTTCACAAGATATTTTGTTATATTGCAGTTGTGTATAGCTACACTCTCTTCATATGGCAGCTATTGTTATACAAAGCCTAATACAATTCCGTTAGTTTAAACTTGGGATAAAATATGTTTTCAAAGGGGGAACTGAGTAAGTATGTAAGAGAGTTCAGTAGACAAAAGTGGTGTGATAAACTTTGCTGCTGCTATTCCACACAGACAGTTTGATTGATACACAATGTTGAAGTGTAGCTACAGCAGCCCTTGTGTTCCTGCCAACTCTTATGTTGTTCCAATTGTAATCCTTTAGGGGACTGTCAGCCTGGCCATATCTCTACGATCTTATGGCAAAATTATTCTGGCTTGCAATGGGTCATGTCCAATTCAATGATCTTAATGGCTGTGCACTATATGCAGTGCAGGAGCAAGAAAATGTTTTTTTCACAATTATGTGGCAATTTAGTTAAATACGGTTTTGATTTACGTCTCTTTTAGTTCATGTGTTAGTCTATTGCTAGAAGCACAGGAGCATTTGAAAGTGATCATGCGCATGCAGGTAGAGACTGTTATTGAGCGAGCAGTATCACTAAACAGTAACCTTTACTTAATTTCCCCTATATGTCAACTGACCCAAATTGTTACCTTTTGAAGGAGAAATGAATGCTTTTTAGGTGACTTCTCGTCCAATCACATCTGGGTTTAATCCACCATTATTGGGTTTAATGCATATTTATTAGGGTGAATAGCAATTGAAAAGTGTATCTGCTCCCTCAAATGTATAGCCAAAATAGATGCAATGTTTCAATGAACAGAAAGCATAAGAAAAATGATTTCAGATGAGGATAGACTAGAAAACCTGTTTTAAATATCTTTTTTCAATTTCAGCTAAATGCATATTCAGGCCAATATGCTGTTTAGATTAGATCCATCTTCATTGAATATTCATGTAAAACCATTATTTATGCAGAATACAAAATGATGAGTTCTATCTACTGAACTTGGAGTTAACGCATTTTTCTACGTGTTTTTCCTGGAGTCTAAAGTACATCCGTGGCATAATTGATCCCAAGGCTCAAGTGCTGGGTTAAATATTTGAAAGTGAAATCTTTTATAACAAAATGTTCACATTTTACATGAGAAGTAAAACAATCCTGGCAGATTCCTGTTGATCTTAAATGCTTGGACATAGCTATCTAGGGAGTAAACATAAATTTGTTGGGATCCCAAGGATTAAAAGTAGATATGTTGGAACAGTCCCCTACATTGTAATTTTCTTCAAAAGCAAACAGATGGTAAAAGACTGTACAAAAGATATGGAAGAAATATCCGTGAACCTTTCTTAGACCATCATGAAACAAACCTGTTTTTTGCATCTGTAATAAGTGTATTATGTTTTATGAAAGCACTTTGTAAAACAATTCTAGCTATTTACCGACAAACTTGAAACAGAATCTGAAGAATAGGGTAAAGTTTATAACTTTTCAGAACCGTTGCTGGTGTTAAATTAATATGAATAACATGGCAGCAAATCCTTGTCAGAAAGGGATTCTTTCTTGGAATCCAGCATCCACCATCTTTCAATCTGAAGCGAGATGAATACTTGTATGTATTGTAGGCCCCAGAATGGCTTCTAAGATATTGTCTGGGTTGACAGGCCAACTTAATGCTTGGGGACACCTGCATTGTCAGAGCTGCTTTCATTCAGATGAGGTGTTAAACCGAGGCCCCATCTGCATGTTAAGGATCCTATGGTGTTCCACGAAAAGAGAAGGGAGCTTTGCCCGATGTTTTGGCCAACAATCTCCCTGATACAATTAGTCATTCACTTCATGCTGTGCTTAATTAGCTGCCGCGTTTCGCCCACAAAATATACAGTGAATTCACTTTACAGTATATTCTGTGAAGCGCTTTGAGACGTCTTAATGACATGATAAGGTGTTATATCAAATGCAAGGATTATTATTAATGTGGAACATACCTGTGTGCAAATTGGCTGCCTTGTTCACCTATAAAATACACAGTCATTCCACTTTCAGTAAATCCTGTGAAGCACATTCAGATGATTTGATGCCGTGACAAGCCACCATATCAAACACAAGGATAACACTGTTTATTTTCTATGGTTGATCTGTTGTGTGGAAACAGAAGCCATGTTTTCCCAGCCCCCCCAAATATTTTTTTTTATTTGTCGAGTGGGCTAGCTAGGCCAAAAAGAGATTTCACTCCTACTCAGCAGATCAATCATAGAAAATAAATATAAACCAATAAAAAAGATTGGAAGCGGCACCAGGGCCTAGTACTCACCTCTCTTCACAATAAAATTAAAGGTGACGAAAAACAAAAAGCAGAAGAAACGGATGAAAGGTGGGATTTAAAGACAGATAGAGAGGGAGTGAGGTGGAAGGATAGAGAGAGGCACGGAGTTCCAGAGGTGAAGGGTATAGTGACTGATGGCTCGGCCAACAATGGTGGCATGAATGAGGCGGAGGATAAGCCAGCAGGCTGTATGAGCCGAACAGAAGGGGTGCGCAGAGGAGCAGGGTATGAGCAGATCAGTGTGATACAAGCAGATCATCGGGTGTCTAATTTGCTGCGGAGTTTCTCCCACAGTCAATTCACTTACAGTATATTCTGTGAAGCGCTTTGGGACATCTTGAATATTTGTATTTTTGTATTTTCTTTTGTATTTTGTCTCTCAATGATGTGTTAAGACACTATATCAAATGCAAAGGTTATTATTATTATTTGACATTACTTTAATGTCAGCAATAGTTTTGAAGGGCTGCGAAATTCTGGTTTGAGAATCCTAAATTGGCAAAATCAGAAATAAAGCCAGAGAGTAAAATATTTCCCGCTTGACTTCTCCTCACTGACCATTTCCTTGCTGACCTTTTTCTCACTGACCTTTTGCTCACTGCCTGTTTAGCAGATGTGGCTCACTTGGGATTCGAGATCCGCCAGCTGTGAATCTTGCAATGCAAAATTTGCAAACCAGAAGTAACTATTTTGCGAGCATCAATTATTAAACCATATTGAGTGCCCTTCAAATCGTCCATACAAATTCATTACTACATCTAACTGCTTAAGGATAATAGTATCATAAGTTGAACTTGGTTTTAAACTGGGTGTAAATTGTTGTTAGTCCATTACATCATGTCAGCCTCAGTACATCTATGCACATAAGGATTGAACCATATGTTAAAATGAATGGAGAAGTGCAATTTATATCTCCCAAAATACCCAACTATTGGACTGTAAAAGAGTTTCTTATACTTTACCTTATAAATCATAGATGGAGAACACCCTCCGAGGAATCCTGCAGATGAGGAGGAATTCAACAAGCCAGTCCAGGCTGTAATTAAAAAGGAAAATCCAATTTTGAAGGCAGTGGGAAGGGCTGGCACTACCGTCAATGAAGATTATGTGTCTCCACCAAAATACAAGAGCAGCTTGCTGCATCGCTATCTGAATGACTCCTTAAGGCATGTCATGGCATCAAATGCAGCCATGAAAGCCACCGACAGGAAAAGAAACCATTCAGGATCCTTCAGCTCCAATGAATATGAAGAAGAGCTAGCATCACCATCTTCTTCTGAAACAGATGGAAACTTTGTGTACCGAACCGGTAAGGATTCCTTATTATAGATGGGTGTTTTCATGAGGATATAGCATTTCACTGAACAGTTAATAACCTTGAGCTTTATTTACAACCCAACAATATTTTAAGGAAGGGAGTGGGGAGGTGACCATACCCATGTTTGGTGCAAATTTCCTTAATGCTAATAGCCAGGACATTCCCCAAGCATTTCAGCGTAGTTTAGTCATTTCAGCACCAGATTTGGGACCAGAAATTCCTGGCTTCATAATCCTGATGGATCTATTCAGACTCGAACCTTTATTGTGTTTAACAATATGGAAATATATAAATAAATATATAAAAACTGTATATATTATAATATATAAATAGCTTATATGCAGTATATATGTGTATCCCACATATTATCGGAATGTGGGAGGGGAGGGAAGATAAAAAGAAAGAACTGCATTTTTATAGTATATTATGTCAAAATGTTTGAGATGACTGTCAATTGTATCGACTGCATTTGTAGCAAACTATTTGGCAGCTATTTTGTGCACAACACGATCTGCCAAATAGCCATGAGGTAAATGGCTAATTTTTATCTGGAGGATTGTTGGACACCACAAGAAACTCCCTTCTACTATTGAACAATGTTATGGTATCTTTAGACGAAACACTGCACAGAATTGCAGTGAATTGACAGCTCATGAAGAGTAAATAAGCTAAGGCATTGTTGATCCAGCCAGTCTGACTCCACAATGATTTGGAGGTATATACTTGTCCTTAAGCCTGCAAGGCAAAGCTCCAGCTGGGAAAGTACCAAGCTGTGAGGTTAACATTTCCAGTTACTCTCCTCTTATTTGTAGTATTTTGTGTGTGTGTCCGTATTTGCGGAAGATCACTTCAAGTATATTTTCAAGTGAAAAAGTGCATTCAGAGATGTTAACATCATCTTATGTTGTTTGTTTGTCTGCCCAGAGTTGTCACAAGACCCAAGAAATTGTTTTGCTTCATATACCACAGTGGTTTATGTGCCAAATCTGGTGATATTAGCTGTGAAAAAGATTTTCCTGGTGCAAGCCGTTCCTTAGCTGAGGACACGGCCACTGAAAAACATTTTTCCTGATGGATTATTGAAATACGTCTGATGTTGCTCCAGACAGTCTTCTGGAGTTATTTGTTTTAAAAATAAGAATATCACACTTATCCTTAGAAACCAGCCAAGGGGCAAAACCTGACATATTTTGGTGAATTTTCTGGCCAATGTTGAATGAGTCTAGAGTTAAAAAGGTATTCAAATTGTCAAGACTGACAGGTGAGAAAACTATGAAGGAAGCATTTGCAATAGGAAGTTACTGCCTGCAGGAAATGTTTTAGTTCTCTTAAAACAGGAGTTTTAGGGGGCAGATAAATGTTTTAATTCATGAACTCAGCCAGACAATATTTATGTTTCCAGGGCACTTGTGTTTCATTTTTAAATACTCGCATTCATCATGGTTTTAGAGTTTTAAGGCAAATTATAGTGTAACATTTCCTTCCAATAACACTACGTAGCTAAATTAATACTGAAACTGAAACCAATATTTGTTTCTAACTAAAATATCTGAGTAGTTAAATTGTGTATAAAATACGTGAGAACCAGATTTGTATTTGGGGTTGACTGAGAAGACTTTGAAGTGGTTTTGTGAATTTATTTCTAAAAAAAAGACTCATGAATCATTATTCTAACAAACCTTTATACTTAAGAATCGGATATTATACATTTAAGCAGTTAAATACTCAATGCAAAGCTTTTTGGAACACAGCAAAGCAGTTTGTGCATATTCATCTCATGGAAATTGCCAGAAATGCTAATTAATTGACAGTAAGAAATAATTGAACATCTGCCAATGACATTTTATCAGTGAAATGATAGAATGCCATCATTGAACTGTGACTACTGAAGAAAATAATCCCAATACTTCCATTTGATATAATGCATTTCATATCGGGAGGATGTTTCAAAATGCTTCATAGGATGTACTATAAAGTTTAATGACAATTCCTTGCCAATGTTGGCACCCTTACCTCAGGTTGCTGGGCTGACATTCCAGCAACTTCATGTTTAGCAACTTTGGCTAATTGGATTCCTTCATTACTGTCATGCATTGCCAAAATAACTATGTCAAACGGAATTTCAGCCCAAAAGTGTTCAGACAGATACAACACTGTATATTCACTTCAGTTCTATTAACCATTTCTGCATTTCTTCAGTTATTCCAACCAGTCGATGATGCTTCCAAAGTCCGACAAAACAAAAACATATTTGAAAATTAACAAAATGGAAGGAATGTACCATTAGATCAGAAGAATGCATTTATTTCTCCATGTATTGGTCCAAATATGTCAACGGAAAGGAACAACACCTTGTTCAAATAAAGAGTAAAATATATCCAAGCATAACGTGCAGATTGCATAATAGAGAAATAGGCAGGAGAATCGGAAAATCGAATAACTCTTTCAGAGAGCCAGGATGGGAGTCAAGGGCCAATGGCTGTAATTTCTATTGTTCTATGGTTACAATCTCAAAAAGGGCTTTCATGTGATAATAATAATAATCCATCTTCGAGACGTCTCAAAGCGCTTCACAGAATATACTGTAAAGTGAATTGACTATGTATTTTGGGGCAAAACACGACAGTCAATTGCGCACAGCAGCGTCCCACAAACAAGTTGTGGATTGTGTGAACAAGTTTTATTTTTAAGGAATTATTACCCGGAAAAGCAATCTGCCAAGTTCCTACTTATTGCTAGGTAAACCAAAGTGTGTGGAGTAAAGAAACCTGCCCAATGTTTTGCCATGTCTGGAATCAAACCCAGGTCTCTCGCTTGCTCTAACCACTCAGCTACAGGATTCCAGGTGGATGGGTATAAACTGCAAGAGTAAACGTTGAGAAGTTTCGCGCCATCAGAAAAAATAAGATAAGCACCTTGAAGACACTCCTGTGTATCAACATTCTGTATAATATGTGGAGTTTGAACGAGCTTTTCTTCACTGAAACTTCATTCATTTTTAGGTATTGTGGTGTTTTGCAGAGTTGATGCATGGCAATCTCACTGAAGGATTTAAGGATCTGATCTAATCCCAGTAAATTAGAGTGTTGATTTCTTATCGATTAACACAGAACATAATAGCCAAAAGCCAGTATATATCATTTCATATACTTTAGTACTTTAAACGGATAAAACAATAAGTAGCCTTTATCAAACACTGCATAACTGTGGATTACTGTGTTGAATAGAAATTATTAACACAGATTTTAATTATTCTCTTACAATCTAATGGCAAGTGAACATGCAAACAAAAAAACTGAAATGTAATAGCAATAATCCTTAGGGGTGGAGTCCTGTATCTTAGTGGTTAGACCTCCTGCCTGTCAAGCGAGAAGACCCGGGTTCGATTCCTGAGCAGGCAAGTTTTAGGCAAGTTTTTTTACTCCACATGGCTCTGCTTACCTAGCAGTAAGTTGAATCCAGTTGATAGTCGATTGATGGATCGCTTTCCGGAGGTAATAATNAAAAAATGTGGTGACTCAATCCATGACTATTTGAGGTACACTGGTGTGTGCAATTGGCTACCGCGTTACGCCCACAAAATACACTTTCAATCCACTTTATAATATAATCTTGAACTGCTTTGAGATGTCTCAGCAATGTCATAAGGCGATATATCAAATGCATGGATTATTATGATTATTATTATTATATAATGGCTTTCATGTTAGGGAGATGGCTCAAAAGGCTTCACATGAATTTACTGTAAAGTGTATTTTGTAGGTAAATGCAACAGCCAATTTATGTACCGAAATGTCTCAGAAACATCTTTGAAATTAATGAACAATTTTATCTGTGGGATAGTTGTCCAGGACACTAGGGAAAAAATTCCCTTTTCTTTTTGAATAGTGCACAAAATCTTTACCTTTACCTCCAACAATGCAGTGCTCCCCAGCATCATATTGGAGTGTCAGCCCAGACTGTGAGTTCAGAATCCTACAGTGGAGCGTGAACCCAGAATCTTCTGACTCAGAAGTGAGAGTGATACATGGAGAACCAGGCTGACACCAAATCTGGATCTTATGCTGCCAGAATTGCTTCGCCAACAAGGTACAGAGGCGAAATCAAAAGCGTTGCTTTTGTCAGCCTCAGTCCGTTTCAGTTGCATACTTGACAAACCTTTTTTTTTAGTTCCAAAACATCTCTTAACAAATTGCTGAATAACTTGCATTTGTTATTGAAAATCTCTTGAGAGGTTTGGAAAGGACTATTTCTTTGGCAGACTATGTCCTTGGTTTAAAAGTGGTTGGAACCCAGCATCCAACCCAATAAGTTTACCTTGGAGTCAGAGGATGATTTTCCTAACAACTTAAATAGTTACACATGCCAAAGATGTTTTTTAGAGAGACTACATAGCCCATTGGGAAGGTTCATTTCTTAAATGTATTTTATAAAGGAATGAATGTAGCCTAATCCTCAAACTTTTCATTTTCCATATCCAGTTGGATTTTGGCTTCTATTGAGAATAATTTTCCCTACTACTCCATTCTATTATATGGAGCCTGTATATTATTTTTATTGGTCAGATTACAGCTACATTCCCTTCCATCCACATCGTGACCATTGATAATCATCCTAGACAGTCAATCTGAGCATCTGAATACTCTTTCATTTTACTCTCAGCAGAATTTAGTTATACAACACTAAAAGTGTCTTTGAAAAATATCTGGAATATCCAAATCTCATGCTCTTCTGCTAATCTTCATGTTCCCATATCACCAGTAGTATACTGGATTCTTATTGTACTTTTTATGACTTGGTTTACATTCCCCAAATCACAATGTTTATTGGGCAGTGGATGTCCTCATGTGGGTTAATTTAGATTCATGAAGGTGGTTAACTTGACAGTTCATACTTATAAAATACAAATGCAATTTTTATGGGAGCTCCAAATATTTCAATTTAACATATCCTAAATTTCAGTAATTACTGTACTTAATTCAATGTTTATT